GTGAGGTCTTCTCAGAGGACAACATCTGAATAAAACGTTCATTTCAAGACCAGACATTCCCCTAAGAAACCTTCTGCTCTCAGGCTATGTACCTTATCTTACACAAACAGTGCCCCATACACCTTGCACATGTTGTATAAAAATGTTTTGCATGAGCATTAATAACTTATACTGAATTTGAAATAACACTTAAATGTATTTCCATAAATGAATATCCATAAAGTATATATATATATGCACACACAGGTATAAAAACAAAATTATAAATCTCCATTTGCAGCTTCATGCAGTCACATTTATGCACCAGAGAGAGCGGGCTGAACCCTACACATTGCAGTATCCTATTCATGTTCTTGTCAGTACCATCTTTCTTTAGTGTGCACCTTCGCCAGCTCCATGAATCGTGCTGCTCTTTTATTTGGTGTCGTTTGCCCCTGTGCTTTCTTTTCTTTCATCCTCCTTTCACAGATGATTTGAAAAACAACCTTCTTTGCCCCTAAAGCTGAGCCGCCCAGCTGCTCTCATCCCTGCTGTTCTATACAGCAACCACAAGAAAGCTCTCTGGGCAGCTGTGTGTGAAGGAACGCTCAGATAAATAATTAGAGTGGAATCTGGACTAGCACGATGTGCCGACTGAGCTGAAAGAAGTGGTGGACTCTTGGCTCTCTCCCTGCTATCCTCCGAGCCACTGTAAGACTCCGAAGAGGAGGTCTGCAAAAAAAAATTAAACAGCTGCCTGACTGTACCATGCCAGGATCTCTTTGAACGAGGTGGAGGGAGGAGGCCTCCTGGAGCCAAGAGATCTCCTCTAAGGCGGGACTGTTAAAAACAAAAACAGAAAAAATCCCCACCGATTACTGAAGCAATGCAGTCCTGGGCTGCTTCCGCTATGCTGAACAATTAACTCATGAGAGCGAAACAAAGCTGGCGAGTTACAGGCGAGCTGGGACACAGGGACAGGGGTGAGGGCTGTCGTCTCCTGACCAGAAAGCCATGGGGTCATTTTCATTTCCTGACCAGAAAGTTGTGTATCCCATGAGCAAGGTGCCCTACCCAGAATGCTCCAGGAAAGCAAACCCTGTCAGATGGTACCAAAACCTATTTGTAATTTATCCCCCTGTAAGTCACTTTGGATAAAAACCAAAGAAAGAAAGCAAAGAGCAATCTGTTCTTTTTCTGATGTTTATTTAATAAATTCAAAAACTGAAACGCTTGGCACTTTCCATCTGACCGTACTTCAAGTTGGTTAAATACAGTATACCATGGCGTTGAATTGCCATGCGTGTGAATTGCTTAATAAATTAAAATCAATTAAATACTTTAGAAAAATGTTATAATAATAATTAAGCTTTATAATGTTTTAAACAAAGTATTAGGACGCAGACAGATTTACTTTCTAATGGAGGATGAAAATAAGTGTTATTGCCAAAATCGAGAGTCTACAAAACAAAAACACCCTGAGTCATGCAGTCACTTGAATTCATGGTGGGGCGGTGGGGGGGAGGACTGAAAATTGTCAGTCTTCTCCAAGTAGAAAATGAAAGGAGGAACTCCTATCAAAGACAGTTCACATCTGTCTTTTCCTGGTACTGTATTTTGTTTTGGTATCAGGCACACCTTCAAAAACAACTTCTGTGTGCGATTTTCAAATTGGCATAACTCTGCCTTCCTTGTAAACCTCCTGGCAACTAGCTTTGAAAAGCTTTTCCCCCCCCCTTTTTTTTTTTTGCTCAAGACTACTTCATTAGCATTGGACAAACAACAACCTACACAGAATGAATAATAGAATTTTGGTGAAGAATACAAACTAAAGATGAGTCAGAAACTAAGTTACAGGAATATCCACTTGAGCCATCTTGGCCATGATTGTAGCTGTTTCTGGAGGAGGGAAGAAAAAATGGCCAATTCTTCATGTGGATTGCAGCTCTGCCACGATGTACGCACCCATGAAAGGGTTAGATGACTGGGCTCTTTGTTAAAGTGATTTCTTCAGCTGTGCACACAAGTGCCAGCACACAATGCCTTTACACCACACGGACACTTACTGTAATCGGGTCCCGCTCGTGAGACACGAGGAGAAACAAAGTCAAAGGAAACTAAAAATAGCCAGCACATTTTCTGTGACTTTGTAATGCGGACCATGCGCTTCTTTGAAGTGGCTTGAAAGACAATAACCCCCAGAATGGTGCGTCACCACTATGTGCTGGAAGAGGGGTGACTAGGAGTGTGGGAGTTAGAAACAATCCATGCCACACTGCGATCTCTGCGCAATAACCCAGGCAAAACAAGAACAAAGATAAACGCTTAGGATAAATATTTTTCCTTCTAAAATCATCACTTTTTTACCGTAAGTGATTTTTTTCTCTCTCTCTCTAATAGGGAGGATTAGTGCATTAAAAAGTAAGTAAACAACTTCAGATGAGCCAACTGGATCAGCAGCATACTTTGAGATCTAGCAATCTGTGATTTCCAGGTCATGGGTTGCCAGCCCTGGTACTGAAGGGCCACACATTTGCGAGCCAAGTAGTTGGTTACACAATGGAACCCTTAACGGACTTAATTAAAGGACAAATTTAACTATTTTTCAAACTGCTTGACTGTGTTTGTCTCGTAAATGTGTTGGAGATCATCTTTTAAGTTTTGCGTTTCATAAGTAAATTAAAATCCCAAGCCTTTGAGAAGAAAAAAAATAACTTGTAAGTTCAATTAATGTTTTAATAATGTATGTAAGCTTGGCTGGAATGAAAACCAGCAGGTGTCTGGGCCTCCAGGATCAGGATTATGACCCTCTATATAGTAGCAATACAGAACTGACAACCTGCACCTTTTTTAAAACTGGAACAATTTGACCTTAAAATTGATTCCCATGGATGAAGTGGGTCATTTGCAACAAAAGCATAAGGACACTTGTGACCTCAGATCGCACTTCATATCTCTTTAAACTGTTCTGCCTGAAATCCAAAACTCTGATAACATTGTTCGCTGTGAAACAGAAGAAAGTCACTTCGCAAGGAATAAACCCTGCTGGGTTTTAGCCGTTTTTCTGTCCTTGAGTGGTAACCGAAATCTGCTGTTCCCGAAAAGTAAATAAAACCACAATTTTGACAAGCTCTGCAATTCCCAGACAGGGGGAGTCTGTTCCAATTAGTTAAGGAGGGGGACACTCCAAAAAAGTGGCACCACCTCTTAAATTCCTACCTCAGAACCTGGAATAAAAACAATGTATAGGCCTAATTTGTTTTCACTAACAACAAAGGCGAGGACTGTCGACATGCTGACTCATCACCTATCCATTGTTCATCTCTCTTTCTGGCATGATACGTACCAGCTGGTAAGTCATAAGAAATATGTATAGAAGACAGGAATCCTAATAATAATCTATAAGCCAGAAGTCATAATTAGCAGCCAAAAGTAATGTTACTGTACTTAGACTTAGAATACTGCATTATGACAACACAATACAGTCAACATCTTGCCCCAAACTACAGTCATTCCTATTAAAAATCATTTCAGAAAAATACAGTACCTCTCTCCTGGGGAAGCGGCATGTTTGCCTGTCAGGAAGGGGTTAAATAAACAGGACCCCCTCCTCATTTGAATTTTCTTAACAGACAATGGAAAACATCTTCAGTGGGAGAACGCAATGGATCGTACGGTGACTAAGACAGACCACAATAAAAGAAACCCATTCTAAGCAGCCTCAAATATATATATTTTTTAAAATCCTCAAAAAAAGTTCATAACTTTTTACCCCCAGGGAAAAAATGCACAGTGACTGTCAGGCGAAAAAAAATTCTGATTAGAATAATATGGGAAAAGATTGAGGGCACCCCCCCCCCCCTTTAATATAGAAAGTTTTCCCCCTTTCTCTCAGTATAGATGTCAGGTTTGCTTCATTTTCTAATAAATCCGTGCCCTAGAGTTATTTGTGCACGCTGACTGGACAGAGAGAATGCGGTTTGAGGTTATCACTGGCGGAAATTGTCAAGTCTCCAGCAAAACAGAAATGGTGCATCTTTAATCTGACTTCATAAGTATGCTGAAATGATTCAGTCCTAGTACACAGACATAACAGTGAGCTTTTGTTTTCTGAAGAACAACTGCTACTCCAGTAGGAACTGAAACCCATAGCAAACGTGAAGAAAAAACACTGATCCTATCCGAAGAAAAAACAAATCCTGGGTGCTTTATACAATAACACTACGAAAGAAATCTTCCTGGGAAGTGTAGTGTGATTAGCAGTCTTTGTTGAGCTTAAAATGGCAACTAACTGCTCTTTGGATCCAATTTGTAAACGGTATAGTTCAAATTCCCATTTCAGTTGTTTGTAAGTAGAGAACCTTCAAACTCTTCACATAATACATTCAGCTACTAGTAAATAAGTAATGTTATCTATATTTAAACATTTCTGTTTTAGTTGCGCAAGTAGGCCTTATCAAGAGTTCTGTGCATTGCATTTTGCGCAAGTTAAAAAAATGAGCACGTGTTATACAGCAACTGCTAATTAGATAATGCATTAAATAAAATGATTTCTTATTCATATTTAAGGAAGAATGCTAAATGATTTTGTTAATATAAAGTAGAGGAACTTAGACTGTACTAAACTTACAATACGTCTGTTTGTGTGCTTAAAATGCTGGTCAGGCTACTCCTAAATCTGTGCATTTAAAAAGAACAGAATAACAACTGACGGCCTCTTTAAATGAAACATTAAACAACTGCTAGGCCTATCAGATGCTCCTGCAACCACAAGTCATGAACCACAACAAACTAAACACAGACCTTGTGATCTTAACAAATAAAACATTTCATTTGGGGGCATTACAAGATCTGGCTGCCTTATACAAAGGCACCAACTTATGTTACTATCCCTGAATCTCCTGCCCTTTTTATGTGTACAGTTGAAAATATTCTAACTGAGCACAAAGAAAAACCTTCACAAAAAATGTGAACACACTAGATGGTTATTTTATTTGTTTGTTTTTTTCATGCAGGTCAGACAAGGACGGAAAAGGCAAAAAACAAAGACGCAGACAGATCAGATATCGCTTATGTTCAAACCAAACCTCATATGTCAACATGTGGTCCAAATACATGCTTCACATTTTTAGGATCATTAACTTGTTTTGAATTTAATCTAAAGAACTTGTTGCTAGGCAACCAAGACTTTTTTTCTGCCATAGAACTGGGGTTTCCTGTATAATTTCTATTTAAAAGTACAAAAAGAACTTAGACCTTATTGTGAACATTGGAGCAAAAACAAAACTGCATGGGAATAAAAACTAATAATTCTATTTAAATATGTTTTATGCCTGGAAATGTTCAATGTTGCATGCCATATTTAATGTGATTGAAAACAATTTAACCTGTAATCTGAGATGCAAACAATTTGCTCTCTTGGTGCTTGTGACAATGTTTATATTTAATCTTTTTGGGGTTTGTTCTATATTTTGAGGGTTGCAGAAGACTTATCCAAGCACACAATCACAAATTACCCCAAATTAAGATATTTAGATTAAGTTTCACCATTTCAGTATTTTACTCAGCGCTTTTTATTGCTATGTTACATTTTTGGTTATTTTTTTAAAAAGGTGCTTGTTACAAAAAATGTCTCTCACAGCAGAGGAACGTGGCACACTCTGGTCATGATCTAGTAGTCATTTCACTTAAAACATCCTCCTTTACCAAAGAGAAAGAGCGTGACTGACTCTTTTTACCATTACGTAAACAGGTTTTCAAAAATTATCCCTTTAACAAAGAAACCAGTTTTCGCTTTCAGCTCCTCACCTGAAAGGACCCTTGCTGCTGTACCCACCTGCCCTTTTATTGTTTTTCAATGTTTCAAACTAGTCCTCTAATTTTGGTCAAATGTTTCTGAGCTGGTAGCCCACTGTATCTCGTGTCTTGAGACTCCCGCAGAAGTGCCCTCACACACCTGTGTGAGTAGAGAGAACTAAAACGTCTGGATCTCGTTCTGCTTGTAAAAAGAGAGCATGGGCTTCCAGGGCTGCTGTCTCATGATCTTGTGGTTGACTCACAGCAAAGGTATTAGGATCCAGGCCTGGGAGGCCAAGGTAGCACTGTGGCAGGCTGTGGGCTGACTCAAGGCCTCTTTTCATTTCCCCTGCCCCTGCTTGATGTGGTCAGGGGGGGCTCCAATGAGTTAGTCTGCAACTGAGAAAATGAACACCGAAAATCAGGAGGAACAGCACTGCATGTTTAACAAACACGCCAGCTCTTGTATTAACCCCCCATCTTACAGGAACACCGAGTACAGGTATGACCATATACAGCAGCTGCTGAACGCATAGATAACAAGCACAGATAATAAGAGGAAACAATTATATAACCTGGAGCCATTTCATTTTCACACATCTCAGAGTTGAGGTCATTGTATTTGAATTGGTATGGTAGGATAGCCTTTCAAAAAAAAAAAAAAGAGACTTTTTCAGTCAGTTCCATTGGTCTGCCATCTCAGCATTTGCTCGGGGGTTATTCTGGCCTCTATTTTCTTCGGCAGGTACTTCAAGTTGTTCAAACTATCCTTCATTTAGTTTAAAAAACAACTTGCCAAGCGGGGCCAGTCATGACCAAATTACAAATTACTAAGAACGGCCTGTTATCAGTAACCTTGGACAAAAGAAGATACAAACGTCTGTTTACATGAATCAGCCACGTTTATTTCAGGCCCAGATTTTAATGTTGTCTGCTTCTTTATAAGTGAAGTGTAAGTACTTGTTACCTGTTACTGAAGGTTTTTACCGTCCTTACAACATCTGTTTCATTAAGCCTCACAGTAGACTGGAGTGACTGATCATGGAAACATTTCCCTTTAGCACCCTTTACACATGCTCATGAAAAACAGCAGATTTTTTTAACAAATCACAAAGGCCCATCCTATATTTTACAAAGTTCATCAATATCTCTCCAGGGCTCAATGTGTTTCTAATTAAAATGAAACAACAAGCAAAAAGCCGAACCCAGCTCATTATTAACTACATAAGCTTGAACTTCTGCACCACCCCTGCCTACTTTTCAAAAGCCTCTCCTTGGCAGACACAACTCTGACCTCACTGGAGAGCCCCTCCACCCCCCCTCTCTCCAACCTCACCTCCCCCTTCCATTAAACAAACTATTTTCTTTTCTTTAGCCCACATCCCTGTCTCAAGCCAGGCTTATTATTGCATTTTTGGACACTGGTGACAACATTCTGATGTCTGGGGGTCTGAACCCTGTTCAGACAAAGTTCACTACTGGGTCAGACAGAACAATAAAATGACAAAATGTATGTTCCTATGAATTACAAATTCATTACAAATGAATTACAAATTTTAAATAATTTAAAAAAATAACAACCCTGTCTGTTTTATTCAGCATATCTCAAATAGCACATTTTGCCTGCCAATATTTGGAAAGTGAATAAAGTTTTCATGAAGAAGAAGATTTGGTCAGACAAGATTCAATACATTCCTACACACAGATGCAATAAACCCATTCATCTATCTCACTTCAGGATGGCCATTGGGGACCTTTTCCACAATGACAAGACATAATCAAGGGTCAGGGTGGCCCCTGGCTCTCTTGAGGCTTCAATTAAAACAAAAGATTTCTTAGATGACAATCGCACCGTAAATGTTTATGTGTACTGCTACTGATACTATACCCCCCAAAAAGACACCACACCTTATATACAGACAAACCCCAAGTGCACATTCACATTCCAGACAATTATATTAAATATCCTATTACACACAACATTGGAACTATTTAAACTATTTGTGGATAATGGATTGGCTAAAAATGACAATTACAGCATAACTGTTAAGACACACTGTTAATAAAAGAAAACCGCACTCCACACAATGCGATTCCTTTATCTTTTCCAGTACAGTTACAAATAAACAAAGTTAACTCCCCAATCAGCAGAGCACGGTGTTGTCATGTCCCGAACTTACTGTGGCTCTTGTTTTGTCCCACACTTCGATTGGCTGTCCCAGTCAGTGCTGAGAACAATAACAATAACGCCACATACAGATACAAAGCGGTAACCAGCCGTGCTTCTCTTCGTTTGCAGTGAACAATTTACAATTGACTAATTATATTACCAGTATGAGAACTGAACACAGTGCGATACAGTGCAAGGCGGATGTTGTCGGGAGCTGAAAGATTACAAGGGCTGAGCAGACCCCTGGAGACAGCCTGGGTTCCTGTGGATAGTTCAGTCAGCAGTGAGGACAGAGCATGAGAAGGCTCTTCGAGTGGGTGAATGGAGCAGCCCAGTGAAATGGGGTGTGGCAAGGGACAAGGGAACAAAGACAGGCAGGAACAGAGTGGTTGGGTAGCATTAGGTGTGATGGTTTGGAATTGGTGGGGAGTTAAAACGGTCAATGTCGGTTCATATTATTCCAACAATAATAAACTTTGTTTTATATAGTGCCTTTTCAAAGCACTTGGCAGAACAGGAAAGGGGGTAGGGAGGTGGAGTCATGAGAAAAAGAAAGAGGTCCTCAGAGGGGGAAGAAAAGGAGGTCAACTTCAAGTGCTTAAACATAACGAGAGTAAATGACAGCCAGAGAAACTTTTCTCATATTCTTTATTCCCTTATATTTGTTTGTCAAAGGGATCACACAGTCACTTTGTGTTGTGTTTATTTCCTTATTGAGACACATTTTAAAAAAAGGTTGTCATTAATTTCATAATTAGAGCCTGTTAAACTATACTTGTCAGTGTTACAGTACCTTAATTCACCAGAGCATCCAATTCCTAGGATGGATGAGAATTCAATAAACTTTAGAAGGTATGTTTGGCAAATATGTGTAGCTTAAGGTTTAACATACATTTAAAAGTCATATACATGTATTAATGCAATACAAAAGGAGAGAATGAGGTTCTGTCAAATACATAATTACTGTATTATGTCTGCAACTGTATACATAAACACATAAATGTAAATACATGTCACAAAATCTATATAGCCCAATTTATTCACATACCGCACAAGTCACCACTGCTCAATATATTCCACCCAACAATTTCCACCAACCACAATCCTATAGCAGAAGCAAAGACATTGACATATGAACATCCATCACTGTATCCAAATACCAATACTGCAAGCATACTGATAATTTACCTGTCTTTAAGAATCTGCGCCATCCCACTGAATGCATTGTTGGGAGGGTTTCAAAGTGTGTGATCCCACTTCAACTGAAAGCCTGAATCAATTTGCTTACATTAAAATCCACAGCATTGTGGTATATGTCCTTTATTCAATTAGTTTTACTATAGGATTTTAAAGCAGCAGTGCTGAGAATATCTAGGCCCTAGAGGCAGAAAACTATTTTCGTAGTCATTTTACAGTAACTCCACCTTAAAGTCATAAATGACATCCTGAGATGTTGAAATGCTCTGTACAGTACATCAAACCTGAACTGACCACACCGAAGACAGCTGATAGTGACCCAGTTGTCAAGAACACCACCACTTTCTCTCCAATTCCTTCTTTGTTTCTGTGGCCTATGGCTCCTGCATCGCATCTTAGACACCTATCCTATGTGGCAGCTTGAAGAGCCACCTGTCTTTCAACATACCATGGTAATGACCTTGCAGTTATGATCCCCTAATAGTCCACTATCACCGCTAATCAGTGCGCCGCACACATACAGTACACCCTGGCTTGATCCGTCTTCATAAGACATAAAGAAATAATTACAGAAGTCTTATATTTCAACAGTCATATTTTCTATCACATATGAGCATTTAAAACAGATTGTGGTAGGGGAGAAGAGAAAGAGCAAAGGAAAGATGCAGTGTGAAAGGAAGACTTTCAGACATGAAAAAAACATCAAGGCAGGACACATAAAACAGTTTGTGTGCAGGGGAAGCAGCCCTGGCTTCTCCTTCGCAACAACAAAACAGCTCCGTTAGGAAGAAAGCAGTGCCGGCAGCCAGAGAGCAGAGAGAGTAAGAGAAGGAGAGAGAGATGTATTTGGGAACACCTTTGATGCAAAGTGGTGGTGTCTTCATTCTGGCCTGCTCCATACAACCTGTCAATTACACTGAGAACTCTTTACATACCCTCCTCACTTCAGAGGAGGCAAAGCGAGACTCAGCTCCCTCTATTCTCTTTAGTGTTCTGCTGTGCAGCTCAAGGAAGCAATCAATCAACAGTGGCCATATTTGATGGAGCCATTTCTCCATGTAACTCTCTCATGAAAGAATGAAGCAGCAGTATACACTGGGTTTTTTGTTGTTGATGTTTTTGCTGCTTTGGAAGACCTACTTTAGTAGGGCAAACCATAGAGCATACATTAGAAAAGTGGCACAGAAAGTGTTTTGTTTCAATCACCCCTGAGGCTACATATGTAATGTCTGACCCGGGATTCATCTCTCTCTGAAGCTCATTGAGAAACAGTCTTCATGTGTTTCCAGCATACCATCTGTAAAATGTCTTGACATGAAACAGCCAGACTTAACCTCAAGCTACCCAATACTTCATATTTTAAAAAGGTAGACTTGGTTCTTACTACCCCACACATTTCCCTTCAAACCTTTTCCACTGTCTATATTCATGTATATTCCATCCAGATCAGATCTTTCACTCTGCATTTCTTAATGATTTTAAGAATGGAAAAAAAATTGCATGGGACGTACTTAATCTGGTATCATTTCTATATGATAGCCCACTGGAGAGAAGAATCCCACCCAAGAACGTTAATCGTATGGCTCTTTAAAGATTTATTCATAGAACAGTGAGACAAATTGTATAAATTGTTCTCAGTCTTTCTTATGACCTTATATTATGCTATATTTATATATTCTTGCTTCTCAAACTCATACCTGCACCTGCACCTGAATATAGGACACTGTCTCCTGATTAGGCTGAGGAGTCAGATGTTTTTTTTTTTAACTCAAGGAATCAGCTACTGCTACAGATCATCTTGTATCCAACACTACTCAGCTTAACCTTAGACATTTTCACTTAGCCTTACAGGATCTGCTGAAATGGGATCTCTGTGGGTCTAAGGGATGATGATAAACTCTTCATCATTACAGAATTGCCACTGAACAACCATATGATTGCATTTCAGATCTCAGTAGTTTAATGGAGCTCATTTGGTCCTTGAGTCCAATACAGTGACATATTCCCCAGGAACCTCTGAATTCTCCTGTGT